AGGCCTATGTGATTGCTTATGGCAGAACTTATCAAGGGCTTTTATCTTCTTTTTTTTCTTGTTCTTATCTCCTTTGCATGTTATTTAAAGCTCCTCATAGATACATGATTGTAGAACTGTTTCGCTTTTTGTCAATGAATATGTCATTATGTATATCATGTTCTAATTATAAAGCTATCATGACATATTTCCAAAATTTGGAACACTTCAACAGTGTCTATTTTCTGCTTTTATTTCAGATCAGTGATGTGGTGGGGAGGGACTGTTTCTCATATTTGAAAGACTAAGAATTTCATAAAGCATTCATGTGATTTTATTGCATCTCATTAATGTCTATGGTTATGGAGTGAAATAGTACTGATATGTTTGGTTAATGAGATAGTAAGGATATATTTCATCAGGATTTTAAAGCATGTCCTCGTTAACAGATGGCTTTAAACCAGTGGTTGTATCAAAATCTGGAGGCTATTGTATCAATGTATGAGGATCGCTTTGACCTCTACACACTTAAGAACCAACTCATTGAGGAAAACGGTAGTGATTGTGCTGAAACATATAGTTGGTGGAAGAAGATTATGCCAAGAAAATATGAAAGTGCACCTGCTTCATTGCAGTATGTTGTGATAAGCCATTTCTCTCTGTCTGTAAAACGCACCAAGGAATTAAAAGCCCTGACAGGGTGGTATGTTTTCCACAACCTTTCACCTATAAATAATTTTCTTTGCTTGCATCCAGTGTTATTAGCAGAGGATTTAGATTATCTTGGAATAACACTGAAATTTGTTAGATACTTGGAAACAAAGAAACGCTGGGGCACTTGTAGCTCGTACTATTGTCTTCTTCAATTTATGTGGCATGGATATGCCCCTCCTATATAATCCTCCTATATAATTGTCCCGGAGCACTTAAAATTTATCTCTACTGCAGGGGATTAATACTTGTAGATCTTCTATTATCTCAGATAGTCTACAATTATAGAAATTGTGAAACCTAACATGCTTTGGTGGAGCGGATTCATGGTGTGGATAAAAAAATATTTTCAGAAGTGATTTCATTATTAATACTTAGCCTCTTAGGGAATGCTGTTTGAGAAAGTTTCTTGGTGTTGATTAATAAGGACAACTGCAGTAGGACGGCATGAAATAACGATTGTTTTTAGATGGTGGTAAAGGCTGTTGCCTTGATGAAAGTATACTGTCATAGGTTCATGAATATAGAAATTTATCTTGCTACTTTGGTATCAGCGTGGTCATCTGCATTTCTATATATGGATTTTATTTTAGCCCAAAGAAAAGTTTGAACTTCCTGGGGAGCAGAGTTAGGTTTTGTACAATGGAACTTTAACTTCCTCAGTTTGATCTGTTCTATCTATGCCAAGTTGACATTGAAAACCTTGTGACTCCATGTAAAATTGTAAACTGGCAAATCAGGGAATTACAACGCCTGAGGTCTATTCTACTCTTACCAAATATTCACAAAACAGTTGTTTTTTCTGAAGTTAAGGTATGGATTTTAGGGAAAGAAGATGCACGATCAAATAACTAAGGTTGTTCAAATCTTTTTTACATGAATATTTAATGAATATGTAAATATAATAGTAATGATTGGTTAAATATACACATAAAGATTTCTTCATTTAGAGCAGCCAACTGAATACCATGAACAGGTTTCATATATTTCTGATTCATAAAGTTTATAAACTTGGATATAGATTTTAACCAAATAGTCTCTTTGCTTATTACAGGAGATACTATTTCAGTCTGTTCCTTGAGTTCTCTGACATTAGCCTGCCCATGGTTAGAGCTGTCATCGACAAAGTTAGCAATGCCATCTCTTTTTTTCTAGTTTGCTTGATTGGGAGGTCATTGGGACTCATCTATACAGGAATTAGGCAGTCCCTCAGATGGAAGTGAGATGTGAATGGTACCTTATCTTTTTGTTGATCACAAATTTCTCTTAGCGGTTTTTACATGCTGTAGCAGTCTCGAGGAATGTGATCTGTGCATTGTTACTCTGGAAAGTTTTTTTTTTGCACTGATGCTTCTTTAAATGTTTTGGTCAATAAATTTTGAGAAGCTGATTTAGTTCTATGTTAATAACACTTTTATTGATGTGATTTTAACCAGATGGTTTCATTTCCATCTATGAGCTGATGTGGAATTTGCCCTTTTATTTAGCTGTCTCTCCTTTTCTTACGTCTGTGTGGCTTGTGGGTAGAAACCATCCGGTCCACCCCAGAATTGCAGGGTGCATGTTAAGGAGCTGTGCTTGAATTCGAGTTTGAGAACCCAAGGATGTGTTACACACTTTGATGAGTGATTTTGGTGAAGATACACGTTGAAAAGAAATATAATTTAACTATATTAGCATTTTTAATCACATTATTGTTTCTTGAATATTGATCGATCCATTGACTCTGATTTTACCTGTGTTGAATTTTTTAGGGTTAATTACATGGATGGTAACTTATCTTTGTGTTTAGTCTACTTTTGGTCACTGATTTCAAAAAACATAATATATGGTCACTTTTGTTTTATTTAATTAAGATATGGTCATTTTCGTTTTTATTTAATTAAGATGTGATCACCCTGAGTTAATTGTCGTTAACATCATTTAAATATTTTTATATAATTACATATTTGGTCCCTAATATTACATATTATCTCAATTTAGTTATATTTTTAATAAATTAAAATAAATTTAATCTTTCAATCGAATGATATAACATGTCATGCCAGTAAGATTGTTCAAAAATTCTAAGCTTGATTGTGCTGACCTGTTAACTCGCTAACCCAATTAAAAAATATTGAGTATTTATAATAAAAGTACCCGATTTTTTGGGTTGGGTATCCGATTAGGTTTTTAGGTCGAGCATGGGTCACAAAATGTTGGTTAACCGGGTACCCACCGACTCGGTACCCAATTTATTATATATTTTTTATTTTTATATTAAATTTTTATTCATAATCGTCAAATTATTTCACCATAACATTCTAAAATCCTAATTTCTTAAATTTTGACATCATAACGTTCTAAATTCTTAATTTCTTATATTTTTTCACTTTAACCTTTTAAATTATTTTTTAAAATATTTATTTTAACTTCAAAACATTTGAAATTTAATTATATTTCTTTATTTTAAATTTTAATAAATTTTTAAACTTTATGTGTGGATTATATATATTATAGATTTTTAAATTTTAAATTTTTAGAATTTTTTATATTTTTAAATAATATAATAAAAAAAATAAAAAAAATTATGAATCGGGTACCTGTGACCTGAATTATTTATAATATAATTATATATATATATATTAACTTAAAATATTTTTATATAACTTATTAAATATGTTTTACTATTTACTTAATTTAAAAATATTTTATTTTTATTTTCATTTAAAAATACATAATTTATTTTAATTTATTAAAAATATAACTAAATTGAGAGAATATATAAATAACAGGGATCAAATGTGTGAATATATCAAAATATTTAACTGCTGTTAACGGCAATTGACTCGAAGTGATCAAATCTTGCTTAAATAGATCCCCGCCAAAAATTTCATCCATTTACCATTGATCCTTAGAGTAACAATTATATTATAAAAAACAATGATTTTTTTAGTATGCATATTTACCATTTTTATCAATTTAGAACTTAATCGTTAAAAATACATAAACATTATTTCTTATTGATATTATTAAAAAAACAATTAAAGCTAGACCGAGGCCGATTAGTAATTTTCATAATTTTTTATATATTTAAAAACCATAATAACTTTTTTATAACCATTTGTATTCGATATATTGATCGAATAATTTCGATCGAGTACTGTAGATACTCATTATTTGGGTCACTCCTTCAATATAATTTGTTTCATTCACAAAATCAAAATTCAAACATTTAACTTTATTTAAGGAATCAATGAAATAATTATATCATTAAAAAGATGAATCAAACAGTACTTGGTCCTTAAAGAATAACATTATAAAACATAAAAATAATAAGTAAATAAATAAAGCGAGAGCGTAAATGAGTTCAGGAACATACGACTTAAAAAATCATATTAAAATTTAAGGTAAATTATGTGTTCTAAACTAACAGTTCTAGTCTGTCTTAGTATTTAAATTTTTATTTTTTAAAAAAAAATTATACATAAAGTTTAATTTTTGTTTTATTTTAATACATCGTCATTAAAATTTTAATTTTTGTTTCATTTTAATATCCTGTTTAAAATTTAACGTTAAGTTTTGGGGGGGAGAATTTGAAAGTTTAGGTACTAAAACGAACTAAAACTGATAGTTTAGGCACTAAACACGTTAAATTTTTAATGGTGCATATTAAAATGAAATAAAAAGAAAACTCTAAGTATGATTTTAAAAAATTAAAAATTTAAGTACTAAAATAGAATAAAATTAATAATTTAAATATTAAACGCATAATTTACTAAAATTTATAAGAGGTAAGATTATAAGAAAATTTTAAATTTACCAAACACCCGTTTCGGTTTATCTTTGGGTGGGTTGAGAATCTCCTCATTATTTGATATTTTTGTAATAAAAGATTCGATCAACAAACCAAGTAAAGTCGAAAGAGAGACAAGAACCTTAAATTGGGCCAGGATCAGCTGACATATTGGGCCCAAAGCTATCCCGTTTGGTCATTGACTTGACAATCATTTTTCTATGGAGCTGAATCTGACCAGAACCAGGAATTCAATAAAAGTCGGATACTGAAATTATATAAAAAATCATACAAAAGATATTCCTTTCCCTCTTTTCGATACGATAATCATTCAATTCTTATTTCTTAAGGGAAGGTAACTTCTTGTTGCGCATATCATTTGTTAGGGTTTTCGATATTTTTTCGTTTTTAATCGATTACATTTGATGTAGATGTTTTAATCGTTACTTTTAATTACTCGCCCTGAATTGATGAACTTGAGAATGGGTTCTCTTTAAAATCTCTATTAGAATTAATTATGTTCCAATTTTTCCACAGTTTGTTTCTTTTCTTTGCTTTTCTTTTTCGTTTTTTTTTTCTTTTCCATCTTTCAGGGAAGCTTCAAATATTGATGTGAATTATTTTAATTGGAACTTCTAGAATCTGGAGTTCGGTGTGCAATGTTTTGATCCTTCTGGAGTGTTTGTGACTTTGGTAGCTAGTTTGATTGATAAATGGCTTGGAAAGAAATGGAAAGTGAAGCCTGGAGATGGGGTTTAGGTTTGCTATACATATTTGCTGTTGCGTCTATATGGATAGCTGCTAGTTTTGTGGTACAGTCTGTTGTTGATGCAGGTGTTTCACCATTTCTTGTAACATACATTTGCAATTCGTTATTCGTTGTTTATATTCCCTTGGTCGAAATCGCCCGTTATCTAGAAGATAATTGTGGAAGTTTATTGTCCCGAAGAAACTCAAGAAGCAGTCCTTCAGAAGAGTTGAGAGAATCAGAGCAAGCTATCCTTCTTGGAGAGGGTGTTTTAGGTTCAAGAACAGATGGATCGAGTCAGTTCTCACTTGCAGCGGAGGGAAAAATTAATCTCGAGATCCCGAATGATTCGCTGCTCGAAAATGATTCCAATGAGCTTACTACGACTTTGTCGAGTCAAGGTGAAGTTGCCAACATTGGCTTAGATGCAAAAGGGCGATGGACACGTACTAGAGTGGCTAAAGTTAGCCTGTCAATATGCCCATTTTGGTTTCTAGCTCAATTAACTTTTAATCTCTCGTTGAAGTACACTACTGTAACGGTAAGCCTAAGCATAATGCATATTTGCATTGATTGCATCAGTTCATGTTTTAAACATGTTCTTTTCATATTTTTCAAATAATTTACTTTCCTTTGTTGTCTGCAGTCTAACACCATCTTGAGCAGCGCGTCGAGCCTTTTCACATTTTTGGTCTCTTTGGCATTCTTGGGTGAGAAGTTCACTTGGATAAAGCTTGTAAGTGTCCTCCTTTGCATGGCAGGAACCATTATTGTCAGCTTGGGCGACTCACGCAACAACAAAAATTTAACAGTAATTGCTTCAAATCCCGTACTTGGAGACATTCTGGCTCTTCTCTCAGCTGCTTTATATGCCGTATATGTTACACTTATTCGTAAAAAGTTGCCCGATAATGAAGAAAAGAGTGGTCGTGTTAGCATGGCACAATTCCTCGGGTTCCTAGGGCTTTTCAACGTATTAATATTCCTTCCTTTTGTTCTTATACTCCATGTCACGAAGCTAGAATCGTTCAACACGCTATCCTGGAATCTGTTTGGCATGATTATAGGAAAAGGTTTGTATTTGATTTTGGCTCAGTTATTCTGTCTATATATTTTCTTATGTATGGTTGCCAATTCTGGTTGGTGTTTATTTACTAGAATGTATTTCACTGTTTTAAAGTGCCTTATCAGATTTGTTTCTCTACGAAATATTAGTGCCTTATCTGATTTGCCTATATGTTTCTCATCGTCCTTCCTTTCGAGAAACGCTTTATGAAATTGACCCTTCGAGGCTGCTTATTTAAAATTTGTATCGGAACTGATTGGTCGTGGAGCATTCATTGCATGTAAAGATGCGCTTAACTTGCACTAATGTTGGAAAACTTTGCCATGAGCTTGTATTCTTCTCTACCACCATTGTCAATGCTTTCTCCTAGCAGATGAACTCTGTTTTTGTGCTATGAGTTTGGTTTTATATTTTTTTTCTTTGATACAATTTTCACACCTGATATCATCTCTTCATCATGCATAGGTTTGTTGGACAATGTGCTGAGTGATTATTTATGGGCAAAAGCTGTTCTTCTTACCACGACGACAGTAGCAACGGCCGGTCTTACTATCCAAGTGCCGTTGGCAGCAATTGTCGATACAGTAATCGGCAATGCTCCTCATCTCATGGATTATCTGGGAGCAGCAGCCGTGATGATCGGTTTTGCAGGAATCAACATCCCTTCAGATGTTTTTTGTAGAGCTAAAGAGGCCACTCTTGAATTAGAGAATGAAAATGTTAGTTTAGCTAATCAAGAGCATACACCATCGCCTCCGGACGAAAGAATCTGACTAAACATTGTTATTGTTATTAAGGTAATTCTATTGAGCATATACTGTTTTCAGGTTGAAGTTTGAATTTTTACTGTTGTAATTCTACTGATTTAGTCCTTATACATTTTTATAAAAGCAAGTTTTATGGACAATTTTTATAATTGTATTAAGATTTTTTTTACCTTTTCAAAAAATATTATTATTATTTTTAACCTCGAATTTCAATCCAAAAAAAGCCCCCAAGTCAATTAAATCTATAATATGTTGATTTATTCCAATCAAGTCCATCAGAAATTGTTTATATTGGTGGAAATGGAACACTTTGCTTGTTTCGTACAATACAATTACTTTGCTTGCTGAAGATGATACAATTGAGTTGTGGAACGACGTCGCATGACTTATGTTTGGAACGGTGTCGTATGAGTCAATGGATAGCTATGTTCGACACCCAGAGTGATGGGCTGAACATAAGCCCAATGGTTTGTAATTAGTTGACTTGTCCTTAGTCGACTCTGCCAACGATCATGTAGAGTAATTAGCATGGTTTTCAGAACCGGGTCAGTTTTCGATCGGTCGGAAGAACCGGACGACGTCATAATTATTTAAAAAATTAAATAAAAATACCAAAAATATTTAATAAAAAATAATTTTTTATATCACAATTCATATTCAAAGCAAGTCATAACATATATAAGTTAAAAACCATAAAATTAAGTGAAACAAAATGATTCAAATTAATTACAACATAATATTTAAGGTAAAACATATTAAATAATAAATATAATTATATAACTATAATTAAAAAATAAATTTGGGGCTAAAAAAATCATAACAAAATGATATTGTTTGGTTTAATTTTTTTTAAAACAATCCCACATGACTAAGAAACATAGAAGATCATCCCAACTAACTTCTATAAATAATAGAGGTAATTTGACATTCAAAATCATAGAGCATTTTGGTGAGCATTGAGTGAACTATTCTTTCACTTCAATTAAGCTCGAATTTTAGCTTCAATCGAGCTTCTAAATTTTTTTTGAGTTCAAGCCTTTTCGAGTTCAAGTTTCAATATTATATTTCGAGTTCGAGTTGAACTTGATAATTTTTAGCTCGTGAGTTTGAGTAGAGTTGAGCTTACTTTTAAAGTTTTCAAGTTCGAGTCGAGTTCAACAATACTCGAGTTCGACTTGACTCGTTTAACAAACGATGTCGTTTGGTTTAAATTAAAAAAAAAACAAAATTAGCGATTTTTTTCGGTTTTTATCGGGCGGTTTTCAGCCGGTCCGATTTGAACGGTTCAACGGTTCCGGCCGGTTCACTAATAGCGGTTCAATTGGTCTAGATTGAATCGGACTAGGCAACGGTTCTTGGTTGAACTAGCCGGTCTGGTCCAGTTTTCAAAACACTGGTAATTAATAGTATATAAAGGATTGGGTTGTACTCGGGCGATTATTACGAAAGTGACGTAATAAAACTTCAGTGTACTTTTACCTTCTCTTCTCTCCTGTAATCTTCTTTTCTTAAAACATAACAATCGGTAATCAGAGCCTATTTTTGATCCAACTCAAGCTGGGTAAACAGAAAACAACATGGTGAAAAATAAACCTCCAGAAATTCAAGAAACGAGCAGTAGAGAACCATCCAAGACTGCACCGAAATGGTGGGAAGAACAGAAAATAATTTAGGAAAATAGACTCAGCAACTTAGAAGCCAGATCAGAAGAAACCAGGGAATGCCTTCAAAGAATCTTGAATCTAATGGCCAAGAGCGCTAAAGACTTATGGTGTTTTTAATCAAATTTTGTCCCCTCGTGATGTGAAACAAAAGATGCTTAAAGAGTCTGATTCGAGTCTTACTAGTTATCCTAAATCAACTCCAATTCAGATGACTTACGAATACCAAATTACTTGGGAAAAAGGTATGGATCGACCCTCATTGGCTTTCTCAACTCATTTTTATCCAGCTCAAAATGTTTTAGCCTGAAAGACTAACGGAGCATGATGTTTCTCACGTGTTTGATAAAATGCCTGTAAGAATAGAAGACGCGTTTCAATCGATATTTAGAGAAATTTGTTTCTTAGAGTTTATGAATGTCAATACACATGTTGAGGTCTTTGATCCTTATTTGTTTCGGCTTTTGTTGATGGGAAGAAGTATAATTCCATTTGCTGAGAGTTTGAGTATGACTAAAAGGGAGATTAGTTCATTTTGTATGCCACAATTTGTTCTGTCAACAGCAAAAATATGGGTTGTTGTATTCGGATATGAATTCTTCTGGGTCATGGTTACGTGTGGGTCTATAATTCTTATGGGTGTTAAGCTTTTGATTTTGCATGAGGAGAGAGCAAGAAAGTTTTGGGAATCCTTTAGAAACCTTATGTTTTGCAAAGGTGATGGAAAATCAAAAAAGAGAAAATGTGTAAAGTTTGAAGCATTTACTCTCACTGTTCGGAAACGTCCAAAAGTTGAAGCGGTTGTTTTTGTGTTAGAAACTGGAATGCTTGTTAATTCTGTGGTGCCAGGTGGTCACACTAATCATCAATTGGAGCCAGGTGATGTGCTTGTTCGTGTGAATTGGGAGGTAATTACTCAATTGTGGAAGTTGGACATTTCAGTTGGGGACATTGTCGAGCAAAAGATAGACTTACATATTGAAAGAGATGGCACACCAATGAGTGTGCAATTAGTGATTCAAGACTTGCACTCGATAACTAATGCTCACCTCTTAGAAGTAAGTAACGCAGTGATACAACACCTGTCTTACTAACGGGCAAGAAATTTTTGCTCCAAATGTGGTCTTGCATATGTCTCAGAACCTGGGTATTTAATATTTAGAGCTGTTGTTGTTGACATCATCAAGAAATTTATTGGTGCGAAAATGTTAAAATTTGAGGATCTAATATATATGCTATCTGAACTTTCTCAGGGTGCTCGGGTTCCTATTTTTGTAATGATGCCTGTGGATACATTTGGTTTTGATGCCTCTGGACGTCTAAGGATTAGAAAAATCAAGGCCATAACTATGTCTCTAAAAGCACTTAAGTTGGCTAATGTTCGGGGAATTGGAGTTGAGATTTGGTGGGGAATAGTGGAGCGTTTTTCTCCCTTTGACTCCAATCGGTCCTTATATGAAAAGCTTTTTAAGTTGATATCTAAGTCGGGGCTAAAGTTGCAGGTTGCTTTGTCTTTTCACTCATCTACTGGAAAAGGGGATGTGAGACTTCCATTGTGGATCTTAGATATTGGTGATTTAAATAAAGATTTTACTATCGAGATAGAAATGGCTTCTCCAACAATGATTATCTTACAGTAGGTGTGGACCAAGTTCATCTTTTATCTGGGCGGACTGCCCTTCAATGTTATGAGGACTTCATGCATAGTTTTGTTAACAAGTTTGAATCCTTTAGTGGAAGTGTAATCGAAGAAATAAGCATTGGTCTTGGTCCTTCTGCAGAACTTTGGTATCCTGCTCATCCGTTTGGCGATGGTAGATGGAAATTCCCTGGAATTGTTGAAATCCAGCACTATGATAAGTACATGATGGAGGACTTAAAGATGGTTGCATGCCAAGAAGGAAAGCCTCAATGGGGGGACCGGGGGCCGCAGAATGCTGGCTGTTACGACAGTCTTCCAACAGGTGTGCCCTTCTTTGAAGAGGGACAAGGAAGCTTTCTATCTGATTATGGTTGTTTCTTCCTGGAATGGTACACTGGTAGGCTGATTTGTCATGCAGATGCGATTCTTTCAAGGGCAGCAATGATACTGAAAAAGTTCCAAGAAAATGATCAAACATCGTTTATGTTGGTGGAATATTAATTTGCAGCTTTATCAACGTTCTTTTCTGCACCTACAATATCATCATAATCATGGACATCGCTATTTCGCCGGTACTGGTCTTTTGGATACACGACAAGACAATCACAAAAATCATTGGGTGAAGCAATGGCTAATTAGTTTAGATGAACTTTCTTCTTATGCAATTTGGGATGATTTCATGGTGGTCTTATCCGAAATTTCGGACTTTGATCCTTGGGGACAAGAAGGATCGTTTGAAGGGGAGGAATTGTCATGATTTGATATTCAGGATGGTATTGGGATGGCTTGCTGAAGATGATACAATTGAGTTGTGGAACGACGTCGCATTTTTATGTTTGGAACGGCTTCGTATGAGTCAATGGATGGCTATGTTCGACACCCAGAGTGATGGGCTGAACACAAGCCCAATAGTTTGTAATTAGTTGACTTGTCCTCAATTGTAGTTGACTCTGATCATGTAGAGTACTTAGTTGTATATAAAGGATTGGATTGTACTCGGGGGATTATTACGAAAGTGAAATAATAAAACTTCAGTATACTTTTACCTTTTCTTCTCTCCTGTAATCCTCTCTTCTTGAAACATAACGCCTTACTGACTCAGAGACCTTCACAATCATATTCCAACTATTGAATATAACTTCGGAAAAGATGGAATCATTTTTTAAATGAAACTCCCAAGGTAGATGCTGTACCTGCAAGAGAAACTTTTTTTTCCCCCCCTTCTTTCCTGCTTCTAACTCTGTGGCATAGCAACATTCAAGTGCCCGTATTTCTGCATCACTTTCCTAGTCGCCAATGCTGCTGCCTCACTAGGTCTCAATGTTCCGGTAGCCATGATAGCAATGAATTCACGGGTTATTTCCTCTTGGACCTTGGCTCGAGCATCTCCGAGAGGGTCTGCTGCAGTCCCACCAGTTTGAGATTTTCCCTGTGCTCCGGCTGGAATAGAAGGCGATGTCTTAATTTTCTCAGATTTTGGTTGCTCCCTGTCTTTTTGCTGTGTAATATTGGAGGACCTGTTCACATTGACAGTGGTGGACTGAGATGGCTGAGCAGATACAGATGGGGTGAATGGGGGAACTTGAGGAACAACACCAGCTCTCAATGTTGTCTCCAAATTCTGTATCATGGGTACTATATTAAAAAAAAAACACCCTTCCCATATTAGCACCACATATTCAAATAAAGTTTTATAGTTCAAAAGGCGTGAAAAGAAATTTTACACAATACAGACAATAACTTACTTAAAACTGCACCCATGGGACTGCTCATAACTTCAATTGGAAGCTGCAAGATATAGTCGAACCAACTAGAAATAGGGCAACCTCATTGCTGAAGTTGTTGCAATAGTGGGTGAGTGTTGGAAATGTATACCGTAAAATTCACACGTTAGCACTGACAGGACAAGTAAATAATAAGTAACAATCGAATCAATTGAAATCGTGTTGTGGTGATAACTATTGCCTTAGAAACAAATTCATCCCAATATGTGTAATCGCTGCTTCAGGCGGATTGTCCCCCGAGGTTAACACAGATGCTCCGAGATTTCGAACACCCAAAATTAAAGTGGACTACAGTGTATTGCTCCTCTGATTACCGGAAATAGTAGGAAGCTTAGAAAGTTTTGAGAAAGTTGAGAGATGTTTGAATGAATTGGTGAGTTGAGAAGCTAGCAATACTTCTCTATTTATAGACTTAACGTCAAGGGTAAAATGGTCTAAAAAAATCAATATAAATATGATTAATTTATGCATTTAACTTATGTCTGAAACTGTTGCAATTTACAGATGAATTCACAGATGAATGTGGCATCAAATCAATCCAGGTTCATGCATTAACTCTCCCTCGTTTGTGACAACAGGTAATTAACTCTGTAACTCTTGTAATTACTGAATAACATGCATAATAGCTTTGAACACATTTGAAAAACCATCTAGATTCATCCAAACATTTCAATGTTTGAATTTTAATTTTAGAAACTTACTGATTTAATCATATATACCATTTCAGCCTATAAATATCAGAACAATTCTTTCACAATCTTTTATGCTTGAATAATAGGCACAATAAATAGCTTTGAACACAGCTGAAAAACCATCTAGATTCATCCAAACGTTTAACTGTTTGAATTTTAATTTCAGAAACTGACTGATTTAATCATACAGACAATTTCAGCCTATAAATATCATAATAACAATTCTTTCACAATCTTTTATGCTTGAGAAAAATCATTACAAATTTTGTCAAAAAAGATAGAATTTATGCCTCGAAGACCTATATTGCCACAGTCACGATACAACGGGCAGCAGTGCACGAGATTGTACCTTATTCTATATCACTTAAAAAGAGAAGAAAGAATACACACTATAAATACTTAAGCCAGTAGCATTTCTCACTCAATATGAGATGGTGTATTTTCGCGTTATTAATCGTGAGCAAACTGTAGGTCTCAACAGTGTAACGAGGACTAATCTCCTGCAAATAATAACTTTAAAAACATGACAATTACTTACCAAATGTTTTTTATATACTTAAAATAAGGTTAACTATACTGATGATAACTTATATTTATGTTTTGTTCACTTTTAGTCACTGATTTTAAAAAATATAAGATATGATCACTTTCGTTTTTATTTAATTAAGATGTTGTCACTCCGAGTTAACTGTCGTAAAAAACAATTAAATATTTTGATATAATCACACATTCGGTCCTTGTTATTTACATATTCTCTCAATTCAATCATACTTTTAATAAATTAAAATAAATTTAATCATCCAATCGAATGGTTTATGCCAAGACCATTGTTTGGTTTAAAGTATATAACATGGTGTATATATTTTGTATCTTAGTGTATAAATACTTAAATTCATAATATTTTATATATATTAACTTAAAAAAATATATTTTATTATTAACTTAATTTAAAAATATTTTATTTTTATTTTTATTTTCATTTAATATAAATACGTATATTATGTTAAAATTTATTTAGAAGTACGACTAAATTAAGAGAATATATAAATAACAGTGACTAAATGTGTGATTACACCAACTATCGCTTCACATATTCTATTAATTGTAAACGAAAGTTAACCTGCGATGACTACATTTTAATTAAATAAAAATGAAAGTGACCATATCTTAATTAAATGAAAATAAAAGTGATTGTATCTTATATTTTTTGAAATAAGTGACCAACAGTGGACAAAACACAAACATAGGTGATTATCTGTGTAATTAACCTTAAAATAAACAAATAACAATAATTTAAACATTTATTGAAGTCACAAAATCACGTGGAACCACCTTCTCGAATACAACTGGTTAATTGGTGATAGTGAAGAAGGATAAAAATAGGGATTCTCTCAGGAAAGGCGGGTTAATATACTGTTAATATACGGCAGTATCGGATACATTAAAATGTATTTAATAAATTCGGTTTAGCGGTACGTATTATGTTGACAACTAATAATGTTTTAGGTAGAAAATATGAAAAACTATTAAAAAATTTGGTAACGGGTAAACTTTGGTTATCGATAAGTATCTATCCTTTTTATAAAAGTGTCCATACTTTTAACATATCAAGTAAATTTTACCGGTTTTGTCATAATGAATCTGGTTTTGTCATATTTTTACCTATTATATTGTAAAGTATCTATCCTTTTTATAAAAGTGTACATACTTATTTCACTGTGAAAATATATTTATTATTATCTTTGGTTAATATTGTTAAATTTAAATTCTAAATAATATTTTATAAAATATCAAAACAATCAAATAATTTTTTGTGTAAATGAAATTATTAAATTAATATTGTAGGTGGAAAACATGAAACACTATTAAAAAAATTGAAACATAAATTACATAACTTTAAAAAAAGTATATATCATTTTTATAAAAGTGTCCATACTTATAAAAGTAGGTCTAAGTCATGAAGAAATATTAAAAAATTATTCTACCGGTTCGTGTCGATCCAAATTAAAAATGTGTCGATCCAAAACGATATAACAGGTAAAACTATGACAAAACCGGTATAGAAATGATAAAACCGGTAAAGCGCTACCGGATACATTTAAAGTGTCGGTACTTTAATATAAGGATCGACACTTCGTGAATTTAAAAGAGAAGCAGTTTTAAATCCTATAAAGTGTCGATACTTTTAAAAAAATGTATCGATCCAAAACGATATACCAGGTAAAAATATGATAAAATCGGTATCAAAACGATAAAACCGGTAAAAGGTTACCGGATATATTAAAAGTGTCGATACTTATATAAGGATCGACACTTTGTGAATTTAAAAGAGAAACAATTTTAGCGCCTATAATGTGTCGATACTTTAAAAAAATATATCGATCCACAACGATATAACAGGTAAAAATATGATAAAACCGGTATCAAAATGATAAAACCGGTAAAATGATACCGGATATATTGAAAGTGTCGATACTTTCGTAAGTACGTGTAATAAATTATCGACACTTTCAAAGAAATAGGTAATTATCCTTTCGAAAGTATCGACACCTGACATAAAAGTATCGACACTTTTGTATTTGTATCGATTAAATATAAATAACATATCCGATGAAAATATAAGCTAAATACCCTCTGAAAATATATAGAACGGACGAGTTTTTGAAATCGAAGAGTAATTGTTGCTGCATTTCAGAAGGCGTTTCTAAAGCGAAGCTTGTTTGTTTGTTGCTGCAGTCGAATCGAAAAGTATGTTGTCGAAACCCTAATTTTTTATTATTACAGTAATCGTGATAGGGTTTTTATGTGTTGTTTGGGGGTTTGGAGTAAAACAGCATTTGTGACCGATTGCAGGTAGAAAGTGATATTCAAGGAAAAATATAAATGTCGATACTTTTATTAAATATTATAGGTAGAAAATAATATTATATGTTGTATAAATGTGCCGACATATTTTGGTGTGGCCATTCAAATTCTTTTGAAGAAAATCGTTTTACCACAAGAGTAGTTATCTATATTTGTATATTGAATAAAGTGTATGTAACAAAATAATTTGATTTGCGTAAACTAATATATGAAGGAAAAATGGAGTCAATGAGTTGGAAAATTGTTGGTGGAGCAGATGACTTTGAAATAGAGGCCGAGACTCGAAAGCAACCAAAGGGTGGATATATGTACTTCTAGTAAGTATCAATGTCTTTTTGTTATTATTGTTGAAATAGTAATTGGATTAAAGTATCGATAAACTTTAAATTGATTACAAATTTTAAATATTGACAGTATGGCCGAATGCAAAAGGATGAAGGAAGATGGCACACAGAGCGGTTCGGTATGTAAAATGAAATTGACATTGAGTAGTATTTAGTGTTAATGTATTGATTAAGAAACGTTTATGTTTTATATTAGGTGACAAAAGATGTGAGGTCCAAATGGAATTCAATGAGTGATGCTGAAAATGAACCTTACATCACACAGTCAAGGAATGATAGTAAAGAATACAAAGAACGGAGGAAAGCACATGAAAATAAGGTATTCATTAAACTTGTAAATACGTTGATACAAAATATATAAGAACTATAACATTATATATTGTTAAAAAATGTAGGAAGTGTCGACAAGATGCAGCATTAAAAGGGTGAATTTATTAATTAAACACCTTAAGGAGAAGGGTCAGTTGAATGTGCTAGGAGAAATAGGTTTTGGATCGTTGGTAGGCGTAAGGGATCGACCTATTCGGAGGGAATTGTGTCGATCCTTGATGGCGCAATTTGATGTCAGGCAATGTATTGCTAAATATGGTGATTTTTCATTTCCTCTCGGGATCCCATGTGCTGCAGCCGTATTGGGGGTATAAAATGAAGGCAAAAGTGTTGTAGAAGTCTGTAAGAGTAAGGACTGGAAAGAACTTGCCTCCAAATATGGTTTGAAGCATAAGGTGACATATGCTGAAATTGAAGAGGAAATAAAAAGTGGATCTTACGTTGGGGATGAGCTGAAGGCCAGAGTTCTATTATACCTTGTCGGTATCTTTCTTTGTCCAACGGGTAATACGTCAACGAACAAAGAACATATGAAGCTCATTTGTGATGAAGGCTTGAAGGGTGAATTCAATTGGGCTGAATATATCCATTCGAGATTGATTGAATCAATAATCACCTTTAAAAAGGGCAGCCAGAGATACCTCAAAGGGTGCATAGCAATCTTAGAGGTAAATGAGTTAAAGAACTTTTTTGTGTTTTTATATAAAAATATAAATTTTATTATAAATGCAGGTTGCACTGTTCGATTTTTGGTCGGGCTATGAGGCAGTGCCGGCTTATGAACGAACCGGAGTAGCACGCATCCATGCATGGGGGAAGGAAGAGGTGGTTAGAGTGATGGTGAAGTTGAAGCTGGATAGAGCGAAGAAGCAAGAAAGGGTAATAAATGTAATTAAATAATATTAAGAATATAATCAATGTCTTAATATTGTAATTTAATTTTGAAGGTTATTGGCAAGGATGTAGAGGAGGCAGAGGAGAAGAAAGGAGGGATGGTTGTATTGGGGGATGACGGTGAGTGGGACGACGCTGAGGGAAAACGTAGTAACTTCGACATTTTGATGTCTGAATTGGCTGATATCAAAAAAATCCAATTTGAAATCATGCAAAGACAATCAAGAGTTGAAGAGAAACTTGAGAGAGTCGAAGATACACTTGAGAGGCATAAGGGGGTAGTGGAAGGAAAAATAGATGGAGTGGTGAAAGAAGTAGAGGTGTTGAGGGGTGAAGTGGTGAAAGAAGTTGGGGTGTTAAGGGGTGATATTAAGATGGTGACGGGTGAAAAATTTGAGGGAGTGGTGAAGGAGGTTGTGGAATTGAGGAGTGAATTTACGGGGGTGAAGGGGG